CTAACACTACTTGGCTTTCTGCTAGTACTTCAATTATTCCTTCTAGCGACTGCTCCAGCTACTGCTTTCAGAAGTAGGCCCATTTAAAGTGTCTTGGTTGTGGCAGCTAAAGCACAAGTACAGTGATTTGCAACCAGGATGCTGGGAGAGGAAATAAGTGCAGGCTCTTCTCTGTCTGGCTGCTCCTCCTTCCCAGCTTCTCTTCAAGCAGGTAAGCACTATAAAAATTACATCACGTCTTTGAAATGGGGTGCTGATCAAGCCACAAATGTTATGGAGAAACGGCTCTTGTCTAAAAGGTTTGATAGCTGCTGCCCTAGTAACTTCTGAATATGCTGGCTTTAATTTCTAAATTTGCTCAGGGTAACCTTTTATGGTGTAATGATTAAAAAAAAATAGCAGCAGCTGCTGTTTTGCCTAAACTAGCATTCCCACCAGAGCTACCCCATTAGGATGCAAATGCAGCATACATTAAAACTCATAAAAGAGAGAATTAATGAAAGTAAAGCAATTAGCTGAATTACCTGATAACAAAGATAAGCAGTTCAAACAGTAAACTTATTTGAAAAAAAAAGTATTTTCTTCTGAAATGACATCTGTGAGGAGCAAAGTTCTAATACAGCTGTCTTCTAAACAGGGAAATGTTCTCTTCTAGGCCAGCTTACAGATGAATTGCCAGGGGACAAGTCCTTTCTTTACTACAGGCTTTTGTTTAGCTTCTGGGAAATTTCTGAACAAAGTGCGGTAGGATAAGGATGCAGAGAATAAACAGCCCACTTGAACTGTGGCCTCCTTATTTTTGCCATTAGCTTATTGTACCTCAACAATTTGTAACATTACTTTGGCCTGTAGGTATATGCCTTTTACAAGTTTAGGAATTCTGGGAAGGACCAGATGAAGGTTCCCTACAGCTAACCCTTGCAGCCTGTACCCTCTGGACTCTGGTTCTTTGGACTTGACCAAAAGGCTGAAATCTATTAGGCTGATTTGTCTGTGTTGGGGTAGTGGGCCACGGCCCACCACGTATACTTAGTAGCCCCCTCTAATTGGGGGCTAGTGGGGACACAATTAAATGTGGGGAACAAAAAGTGACTAAACGATGCGCAGGTGGTTAAAGGGTTAAAAAAAAAAAGTGCACTTTCAGGGGACACTGAGCAGAGCACCCCCGACAGCACCCACTGACTCTCAAAGGCAGCCACTGAAATCTGTTAGGGGAGAATGGGAAGTTGTGGTTGAATCACTGGAGATAAAAGGAAAGAGCACCATGAGGTAACTGGCTGAATTTCTGACTTCTTATAAATGCTGGGGAGGAACAATGGGCACCATACCTACAGGTTAGGGAACTCCCCTCTTGTCA